TCCTCTTTGCGTCGCTTTCGGAAGATCTGTATGTCACATCGTCAAGGTGACCGGCGTCATATGGAAAATGCGAATTAAGCCAAAAATGAACCCCCAGTCCAACCCCCATATCTAGCTCTAGTGACATGTCGTCTGAGCGTGCCGTATCCAAGTGCTATGAATCGAGATACAGGTGATTGCCCTTGGACATGTTCAAGAGAGTGCATGCAATACCTGCCCTTGCGAACATATCCGTACCTACGTACATATACATATAGAACTGGTACGTTGGGTGAACATAAAAAGCAAACATGCCAGTGATTTTCCTCGTGCTATTTTACAGTGAATTATACAAACGTGCCTGATTGCTGTTGCAACTAGACGTTGAACAGCGATGTCAAAACTTTAGGCCCCTCAGCGGCTTGGCTGGGTACATTGCCTGATCTGGACTAGCGCGCTCAAATTCTGGCTCTGGCACCCAAGCCCTACCGAGAATTTGGATTCCGAACTTTTTCTCTGCACCACGACTTGCCCAGCTCCTTCAATCCCCGCATACCAGAAATTAGCGGCAGTAATCGCTTCATATGTGAGTTGCGAGCGACCAGCGATGCGTAGCATTCCTCTTTTTTCCGATACCGGCGACGGGCCGCATTGCCATTCGCAGGCTGAGTGGCGACGGGCCATTTGTGCGCGAGGAAGCTGACCAGTCAACCATTAGCTTCCAAAATGGCCAACCCCAGAGTCGAGGAACTTCCGGATGACGAGACCAAGAAGGTCACCGTCGAGGAGCTCGACGATGACAGCTCCAGCGAGTCCGAGGCTGGCGAGGCTGGCGAGGCCAACCTCCCCGCTGGCTCTACCGCTGTAGTCCACTCCCGCAACGAGAAGAAGGCTCGCAAGGCCATGGAGAAGCTGCACCTCGTCCGCGTCCAGGGCATCACCCGCGTCACTCTCCGCCGCCCCAAGAACGTGAGTGGGAACCCCGACCCCGCTGTGGAATACGATTGCTGTTGTGGTGGTCAATTCCCTGGATTTCCCAAGTTGGAAAAGGAAAGACTTGGATGGAAATTGAAGAACCGGGATAGCTAACCACGTGCAACAGATCCTCTTCGTGATCAACAACCCTGAGGTGTACAAGTCCCCTAACAGCAACACCTACATGTGAGCCACTCCGTATTGCTCATATCATATGCTGCACAAGCCTAACCGTTGAACAGCGTCTTCGGTGAGGCCAAGATTGAGGATCTGAACGCCAGCGCCCAGGCCGCTGCTGCCCAGCAGCTCGCCAACCAGAGCACTGAGCACGACCACGCCGGTCACGACCACTCCGGCCACGACCACTCCCACGCTGGCCACAGCCACATCCACGAGGAGGAGGAAGAGGACGACGGCGAGGATGAGGACGCGGAGGGCATCGAGGACAAGGACATCGAGCTCGTCATGACCCAGGCCACCGTTTCCCGCAAGAAGGCCATCAAGGCGCTGAAAGAGAACGACAACGACATAGTCAACTCTATCATGGCGTTGAGTGTTTAGGGCGGGATTTGGTAGATCGGAGACGTAGCAAAAGGGGCCGATGTCATCTGACGGGGGAAATAATTCCAAACAACCAAGCTGCTTGCCGGTTATCATCTGCAACTGGGCTAGGTTTCATTTGACTTTTAGGTCTGCAAAAACTCAGGTACCTCTTTGAAAATGTACTTTACAACCACCAAGTCTCGGAAAACATGCTCCATCTACTTGTGGATGTAATGTGCGTTGTTTGCAGCTTTACCATGTATGTGCGACAACCATTGGCCGTCTGTATAACAGTGTCTAATGGCTTCCAAATTATTACTGCTTGCATTTGTTGCCAGTCGCAACATCTCTGTTGAGAATTCCGAGTGGGACAAAGCATTTGGGCGATCTTGCCGTGGAGTAGCGTGGTCACGTGACCTTGATCTCGCGCCGTCCCGACGTTGGAGCTTTCACTTTGCCGAACGCAAACAAGCATTATCAGCGACTCTCATCTCCCCTCCATAACAACCTCTGAACCAGCGTAAAAATGGCCGCAGTAAGTAACACGCATCAATTGAGCTGCTCCATCTTCAGCGTCCTGTTTTTCTCGGCGACACTTTGCGGCGCCAATTGGGCGAGCTCGCAGCTTTGTCGTGGTTGCTACGTTTTCGCACCTAAAAAAAAGCTGAGCTAATTTCTGGTTATGTGTTACCCGCAACGCAGCGAAGCGCAGCTCTCAAGCTCGACTGGGCCAAGGTCACGACGTCGCTCGGCCTGCGCGGTCAGACGGCCTCTGGCCTCCAGGCATTCAAGAAGCGCAACGACGATGCCCGTCGCAAGATCGCCTTGCTCCAGGAGCAGGCCACCAAGGTCGACTTCGCGCAGTACCGCGCCGTGCTGAAGAACCAGGCCGTCGTCGACGAGATCGAGAAGCGCTTCACGGCCTTCAAGCCCGCCACCTACGACCTGAGCCGCCAGCTCAAGGCCATCGAGACCTTCGAGGTCGAGGCCATCAAGAACGCCGAGGCCACCAAGCACAAGGTCGACCTGGAGCTCAAGGACCTAGAGAAGACCCTCACCAACATCGAGACCGCCCGGCCGTTTGACGAACTCACCGTGGTATGGATGGGCTTGTTATTATATTCTGGAAATGCTGCCCGTCGCTGCTGCTCCGTGATGCTGATCAATTGGACTACGAACACTAGGACGAGATTGCCGCCGCCGAGCCATCCATCGACGAGAAGACCGCCCAGCTCGTATCCAAGGGCCGCTGGTCCGTACCCGGATACAAGGTGCGTCTTTGTTCCCCGTCTTCTCCGTTCTTTTGTTTGCGTTGCTAATACCCATACCAGGAGAAATTCGGCGATCTCTCCGTACTTTAACTGTTCCGACTGCCGCCCTTTCGTTTTCTTTTTGTACTCTAGCATTGTAGATAGCAGAAATGCGCCTTTGAGGGGACAGGAGAATTGGATCCTCGTTAATTCAATACCTCTGTACCGGTCCAGTTGTGTATGTCGTGGTTCTTTTGATCTCTTGCTGTTTGATAAGAGCTCTGTGGGAAGCTCATCGTTGTAGTCCAGTTCGACGTACTTAAGGTTGACGGACACGGCTGTTCATAGCATGCTTCCTCAAGGCTAATGGGGTGAAGAGACTCGTATTACAGGACCTTGATGTCGACTCGGTTTGTTCCAGTGACATTGTGTCCTAGGGAATGTGAAGAGACTAAGCCAAATCGGCTACACTCCCAGTTGTCAAGTACCTGACTTATGCTCATATGAAGGAGTATCTTGCTCCAACTGAACCGTTTCCTTTATTTTGGCACCTTCCATGACTAGGGGTATTTAAATGGTCATGCAGCCAGTTATCACTGGCTGGTAATTACGTATCCCTTCCAGCTCTGAGAGGAGCCGAGATGGCAGCATCCCGGTGCGTATTGTAACATAAGGGACCTTTTATTCTTAGCTCCGTCTTGTTTAAAAAACCCTCGCGGCGAGATGGTCAGCTGCCTTTACTGAACTCCTGTTCTCACTGTTCATGGCCGTCGAGCCTCTTCGTCACAGTTGTTTCGGTGGATGGGCAACAACACTTCTCTCGGGGAGGGAACCACTCTACCTGATCGGATTGTGTGTCGTACTGGGCGGTCGTGTGGTGGCCAGGGGGCCTACATATTGTCTGGCATTGTTTACTGCCTAGGTAGTGGTGGCTCGCTCATTCGGGTATGGGATGTGGGAGTCTTGGAGCCAATTGCTTGACTCTCTAGTTCTCAACTACGAGGGCATTGAGCGACTTTCGAGTAGTTTGCATGCCATTTTCGTAGGCTAGATGCTCACTATTGGATGAATGAATGCAGTGCCAAACTCATCTCTGCTGTGAGTTGCACATATTTTTGAGGTCTTGTCGTCGTGGGCTTTACAGTGACACTTTTTTTCCTTTCTGTGAGCAGTTTCTTTACTTTCACACCATCTATTGAAGTCACCGATATTAAATTGGATCCTTATATCTGATCGTTGTGAGCCAGTTGGTATTTTCAGGGAGTAGCTACGATCAAGTGTATATAATGAGGGTTTGTGCTGAATTAAAACTGACTGGCATCGTAGGTCTCAATGTATAAAATGGGTTGTGAAGTTGGCTCCTAAAAGATATATTGCAGTTCAACTATACAAATTACAAATGTGGACATTTCGTTCGGCCAGAGATGTGTTAATCGGGCCAGCCAGGAACATAAATATGTGTCCAAGTGCAACAAAAGGAAGCCGTTGCTATCTCTTCTTTCAGACTTGGACACATAAATTCATCTACAAATACAGTAGCTGTGGGAGGTTATATCAGAATTGGAAACGACGTTTTGCTTGTTTCCTTCGTCCTCGAAACAGTTACGTTTCATGAAAAAGGGTTTTTTTTGTGTTATGCCGCTTTCATTGGCCAATACACGCGAGTGTGAACTTAACATGCTTGACGTAGTTATTTTTTGGTTGAAGATGAAATAATAGTTCGCCATAAAATGAGTTCACTTCAGAAATAAGAAAAACCATCAGTCGTTGACAGAGTAGCAAAATGTTAATATCGATTCCTAGAAGAGTCTTCGAGTTTCATGAAACGCAGAATCCCCCGGGACACCATATCAAGCAGATTAAAATCCTCTTAGGTTGTGCCCTAACACTATGTGATAATAACCGGCCGGGGAGAGCGAGTCCGTTGCCGGCCCATAGAAATCCATCACATTCTTAAAACTAAGAAAAGACGAAAATTGGCCAACTCGGCCAAAACAAGTTCAACAGATGTGGAATGACACAACATCAGTTTCTGTCCAAGAGCTGCTGCATTGCTTGCTAGAAAGATAACCTCCTTCGATTAATAAAGAAACAAAATAAGAAGCCCCTACTCACACTTGAAAAAAACTAAGACCCAAAAGTTTTCATCCATCATCAAATTAAGAAGACTACTTAACCCTATCAACATTCCCCCCTCATCCTCAGAAAATACACATGGGAGAGCCTATGTTAGGCCAAAGAAGCAAAAATTAATGCCCACACCAGGGCTCGAACCTGGGACCTGTCGCGGACACACTTTGTTTGTAACGAATTGTGAGGCGAACGTCATACCACTAGACCATACGGGCTGACGAAAGCTACTTAAAGCTTCTCTCTTGATGAGGATTCGAGTCAGTACTGGTTTCCATCAGGTCATTTTACCGGTGTTGGTGGACATAAAGGTGGGGTTGGATGAGGTATTATCGGGCGGAAATACCCAGGTAGGTAGGTGGATAAGAGAATTGCCGTATAAGTGTGAGAATAGGGAGTACCTACCTGCCTAGAGTTTAGATAGAGTATTGTCATATAAGGCTTATTTCTATTACCTATGTTGACTTATATCTGAGAAAAAGGGAGATGAGTGCATGGGGAGGTGAGTCTCATTTATTTCCTCCACCTGGGCTGCAAAGAGTACATTCGCGGCCTGCTGGGATCTTTCCGGTGTTGCACTCGTTAGGGCATCTTGACGCGGGCGTAGTCGTATGTTTGGGTTCTGCGCTTTTTCGACCCGGATTACACAGGGTACATTCGCGGCCTTCTGGGGTCTTGCCGCCGTTGCACTTGTTTGGGCACTGGGACTCGGGCATTGCATACTATGTAACACTCGAGGACCTAATTTTCAGGGGGGGGCGAATACTCAGTTAGATAGATAAGACAATAAACAATAAACAATAGATATACGCAGTTATATTCCGCAGCAATCCGTCTTTAGTAGGAGACTGGGTTGACGCTTGATGTTCAGATATCAGAACAAGCCTAACCCTGGTTAAAGAGCAAGCACGTGCCCGCCGTCTTGCCCCCCTGCCGATGTATCTAGGTATTTCCTTAAGCGTTACAAAAGCCAATTCCTTGGCAGACCCATAAATACTTAGAAAAGACGGTCCGGGGTCTTCGTCAGAAGGGTTCCAGCGCTCTTCAGGGGACTTGATAAAGGTGGGGCAAGTAATAACGTTCCTAATTGTTAGTAAACGTAACTTTTAATTGGTCAAACGCAAAAATTGGCTTTTTTACGCTTAAGGAGATGGCTAAGCTTGCTTGCTCGAGCTCGAAGCTCTCTTCATTACATCACTTGTCGAAGAAGAGCTTGCCTTGCTATCGACTGCTGCTTGCTGGCAACGTGTCTTGACATACCGTACCTTCCGACTATTCACGACATCCACTACAGGCACCCTGAAATCTCCCACAATGCCAGTTTTCCAGAACCGCAAGTACCGGCCGGCAGGAGACAAGAGCACCTTTGGCGCGCAGTACCGCGCCGTGATGGCCAAGCGGCCCTTCATGCTCTTCGGGCTGCCGTTCCTCGCGGTGATCATCGGGGGATCGTTTGTCCTCACGCCGGCAACCGCCATCCGCTACGAGAGACACGACCGGAAGGTGCGGCAGCTGACCAAAGAGGAGGAGTTGAGCGTGGGCAAGAACAAGCGCAAGGTGGACATGAAGGAGGAATATTATGTGAGTTTCTCTTTTGGTGGACTTGGGATTGGGGAGACTTCTTTTGTTGTTGTTATGATGGCCCTGTCCTGTCATACCATTGCCGAAAACGAAACCAGACGATGTTTGTAAAAAAAAATTTGCTGATGCACAGCCTCCCCTCAAACAGAGACTGGCCGCAAAGGATATCGACAACTGGGAACAAAAGAGGGTCACCCGGCTGAAGGGCGAGAGTGATGGTGTGCTGTGAGAGGAAATCTCTTCCAGCCAGGGGGAAATAGTAACGCCGCAAAGAAAGTCAGGGCCGACCGGAAGGCGGGCGTGCCGTCGGCTCCCAAAAGGCCTAATCGTTGGGTGGATGGTCGTCTAGTTCTGCCTTACCCACAAACAAACTCGGATTATCACCCCAAGCGGCCGACATTTGTCATTCGGGGGGTGTACAGACGCGACTCTTCTGTACGGCAATAACAAATCCGAAGGGGAGCCTTGAACAAGGGCGACGATGGAGACACCCTCTCTCACTCCCCAACGCCGACCGTCGCACGCGCGCCAACCCGCCTCCGATGTCGTCGATGCCTTTTCAATATCTCGGCTCGGAGGTTTTGGTTAACTTGTCTATTATGTCCTCAATCCGGGGTGTCATACGCGGGCTCGCAGGTCCCAGACGACCGGAACCAGGGGTCGCTGACTCGCCGGAGATATAATTACTTGAACTAGGAACATTGCCCATGGACTATATTGTGGCTTGGCGGGCTTTGTGGTCAGGTCTCAACGCGTTAAGAGACGGACTCAACCGTTTTCTGTCCTGTCTGTGCCTAGACTCGGAGAGAAAAAGTTAAACACCTACGCAAGCCCCCCGTCTCAGCCGGAGCAACACATATATCTGTGCCTAAGCTGACTTGCCGAGGAGGCGGATGGAGGATGAGACTAGCCCGCACGCGCACAAACGTGCTGCACCCACCGGCTCGACCGGGTTCAAGGGATATACGGGATATATCATGAGTATTTGAAAAGGCCTGGGCGCTTGTTGGTGCGGGAACGAGGGATTCAGAACTCGTAAACCATAGCTGCTTGGACCTGTTAGCTTCAATCTGACAGCTCTTTCAAAACTGACCAAGTTCAAACTCCAGAGGCTGGCTGGCTGGGGTGTGGCGTTATCGGACACCGAGCGAGAGAATCAAGCGTGCATGTACAGTACATACCCGCGCTCTATCGAACTGCGTGCTTGGCCGAGAAACCAAGTAAAGTTCACGCCATGTTAGATATTCTTTGGTGGTGAAGCACTGAGCACCATTGTAACGTAAAGTATAAATTTCTCAAGACCGAGCCGTCGTGTTTCAGAACAATTTGCTGTCAATGCGTCCTACATTGTAAGCTTTCGCAGCTTGGGCACTGACTGATGAAGGTTATTGCCGTGCCGCGGCTGTTTTATTGGACGATTTTCGAGCTCTGCTCCCTGCGGTGGTGGGTGGCGGGGATACCATACTACGTAAGGTTTCCAAGTCTGACGTCTGACGCCGCCGCCGATGAAGCAGGCAAGCTGAGAAGAGCTCTCTATCAGCCAGCCGAGGCGGGACTCCAGAGTGATCCGACATCCGTACACAGCTCGAGCTCCGGGCGGATTGTGTCTCCACTGCGCCCGATGATGGATGGGTGGTGGTTGACTTGACAGATAAGGTACCTGTGTATCATGAGACCCTCAGCGCAAGAGGCGAATCAGCTCGCGACACTGGTCAAAAGTGTATTCGCGTGCGTATGCGCTTTTGCCCAGATGTATGTGCGCTTTCTCAAACAGTCAGCATTCCAAGCCGGGCTGTCCGGGCTACCAGTGACGCTTTGATTCTAGGCCTCGCATGCAAGGGAGGAGAGAATTCGGTGTCTTGGAAATAATCTTACCCCTTTTTTTCTTGGCTTATACAATGGGACAGATGCGTAGATAGAGAATAAGAGGAGCGGCTCTGCGCGAGGGAGTCATCAGGTGCAGTTGTCGATCGAGGCCTCGGGTTTGCGAGATGGCGAAGCGTTTTTCTCGATGCTCGGGACCTGAGATGCCGCCGCCACGCGCCTCCTCCACCACAGAATCCCGGCTGGGTGGCCCGGCGGCGCTATGTGATTCACTTGAAGGAGGTGGGAAGGGGCATAGTAATTTTTTAATTTCATCATTGCACTCTTTTTTTCCTTGTTTGCCCATGTTTCGGGTTTGAAAGCCAAATGCGAAGGTGGCTTGCCTTGGGCAATAGTCAGACCAGGCTCGGCCAATAAGGACGATGTTTCGCGCAGATTTCCCCTTAGTGATCAGCGGATCAACCACACCGCTGGAAAATCCGCAAGCACGCTCAGACTCGTGGCTGGCTGGGCGGGTGCGAGGCTGGCTCGGCTCGCGCTCGTCTGCTTGTCTGGCTTGCTGGGCGTGCTGGGCAAGTTTGCGCTTGATGCCCCGTTTTGGGGCAGGATGTTCGGCAACCACTCGGCATCTTCCAATCATCGAGCTGAGCGATACTTGCCGATGACTGGAGAAAAGAGGGGGAAACCTGGAAGCGGTCAGATGGACATACTTTTCCTTCGGTGTGCATGCCATCGTGCTTTTTTTGAAATTGGATGATGCTCACGAGGGGTAAAAACACGGGAACCAAGTCGCCACCCCCTGGCACACCCGTCTATCACGATGCATCCACTTTAGCAGATAACCATTCTTCAGTGGGTTGGTGCTTGCTGCAGGTACAGACACAAGGCGGACGTCGCTGGGCGTTGGGCATGGTCCGACTGAGACCCGAGTGGCATCTGTGATGATCTGATGTGAATTTCGTGTGAGCGTGTGTTGCCCCCCCTCTCCCCCAGCCCACTGTGCAAACAAATATTCAACTAATCCGCTTATCTCTGCGCCTCGTGATCTGCTTGCTGCGTCTTTTTCGTCTGGCCCGCCAGTAGACCGTTCTGACGTGTTTCCAGATCCATCTTGCCCATTCACTGTCCGTTGTTTTAGGTCTCACGGGCCGTGGACCATTGTGGCCCTTATTTTTGGATGGCGGGCGCGGTTACGGATTGACAGAGGAAGAGGCAAAAAACCGTGTTTAATGGCGAAGTTCGCGAAACGTGCACACGCGCGAACTTGAAGCATGAGCCACGAGTTTGGTGGGTTGCAACTTGCTGGTTAGGTGGAAGTGGTCTGAGTGGTCGTACGTCATGACTGTGCCAAGACGATATCATACCCCACCAAGGCTGAGGAAGAGGGATCGTTGCTTCCTCTTTCCTCATCCATGGCGGTGTGGGTGGTTTGTTTCCTGGATTTCTTGAGCCTAAAAGTGCCATTTCCACTTTTGTCAAACAAATCGCCCCAGTTTGTGTCTACCTGCCTTTGCGCCCCGTCCTTTTTTGAGTAATTGCTGCTCATCGATCCGTATTGCTGCGTTACGAGCTATTGTTGCTCGTTTATGTTCTGGACAGATGTGCAGCGCGGAAATCCGTGCTCGTGTTGTCTCATGCATTCCACTATTTGACAGCTGAAGAGGCTTGTCGGCTTGGGCCAGGCCCGATCGAGCGAAGCGGTCTTTCCGAATTAGTGTCTTGCCCGGGGGGTGTGGGCGCTCTTGGCATGCGCCACGGGCCTGCCTGGCTGATGGTGTGCAGCGTCACATGGATTCACCCTCCTCCAAAGTCC